TTTTCGCCTGCTGCATCCCTTTGACAATGGATATACCTTTTTCGCAGCAGGAGCCTATGCCCAGCAGTACATCCCACGCAGTCGGATTGATCTCTTTCTCACTTCTGATTCGTTAGTACATAAGATTTCTAGATGTTTTGTGCTTTCTTTTTTAGGATCAGATCACTTGCCGTTATTTTTGGAATTCTTTTTGCATTCATCAGTTCGTATGGGAAGGGACCGAATTTCGTTGCCAGAATGGGTGGTGAAGCACGACGAATTCAGACGTTTCTTTTTAGACTTTTGGGTCAAATGGCGCACTTCACAGCCATTGTTCCCCTCCTTGGTAGATTGGTTCCAAGGGGGTTTGAGGGTGGTGCTCAAAAGAGGATTGCTTGTCAAAAAAATTGTAGTTATTAACTCTCGCTCGCAACTCACAAAGATTAATGATCAAATGGCTGAACTTACACGTAGAGCGGAGTTGACAACTGGCAATGAACAGCAACTTATGGCCGATATGGACAGACTCATACAAGAATGGACGACGCAAACACAGCCTGCAATAAGAGCCGTCACACACCGGAAGCGCATATCTTGGCTGATTAAAGGAGATCGAATGACTGCGTCTTTCTTTGAAGGCCGACGTCCCCCTCACAAACCAGGCTTGATTTTGGCAATGAAACATCCATTTTTGGACGCTCAACCACTCGCTGTTGATACTCCGTCAATCATTATTAACATTTTGCTGTTTTACGAGAGCTTGCTGGCATCGCAAGCCCAACATTCTGAGGAACAGCTTCTCGACCAATTCCACCACTTGATCTGGTCTAAGTTGGACCGCAGGTTGACACAACAGCAGTCTGAAAGGTTAGAAGTGGACATAACACAGCAAGAACTGATCGACGCAGTTAAATTGTTGGCAGATCATAAAGCGCCCGGGATTGATGGATTGCCTTCTACTTTCTTTAAACGATTCTCTCCTTTGTTAACTCCGGAACTGCTAACTATATGTCGAGCAGTATGGAATGGGGGGGTCTTACCTACCTCTGCATTAGAAGGGATCATCACCTTTGTTTTCCAAAAAGGGGATTGGACCGACGTGCGCAACTACCGACCGATCACATTGATGCCCGCTGTCTATAAGATTTTCTCCAAAATCTTGACAGCAAGACTGCAGCAAGTACTGACGACGATCATCCACCCCTCGCAAACTGCCTTTATGCAAGGGAGACAAATCCTGTAGAACGTCATGACTGTGGAAAGATTTATGGAATGGGTGACAGACGGAGAAGAACAAATGGCGGTCATACTACTTGATTTGGAGAAAGCATACGATCGAGTGGGCTGGGAATTTTTACAAGCCACAATGACTGCTTTTGGTTTCGGACCTAAAATTCAACATGCAGTCAATGCACTCCTGGCTGGGTCTACCTCTAGACTGTGTGTCAATGGGACTCTTTCCCCACCAATTTCGCTCTCCCGATCGGTAAGGCAAGGGTGTCCTGTGGCTCCCTACTTGTATATACTGTATGTAGAAGTTATGCATGTTCTAATTAGAAGTAACCCCGATATCCCAGGGTTTCTTTTGCCCTCAGGTGATAGACTTAAATCAGAGGCTTTTGCTGATGATTCAGTAGCATTTACTCCTTTGCTGGATGCTGTTTTCGAAAAGTTGCCTAAGACTCTTGATCTCTTTTGTCTCGTCTCACAAGCTGCAGTGAATTGGTCCAAATCGTCAGTCCTTGTCCCACCAGGAGCCCAACCCCCTTACCACTGGGGACTGAGGGTTGTGGTGCCTACACAGCATGAACGGTTGTTGGGTCATCGGATATCATTTGCCCCTCAACTGCGATTGGATTCCGCTTCTTCCTTGACGTCACTCCGGGCTGCCTTTCAGCCTTGGACTGCCCACAAAGGGGTGAGCCTGTATGGACGATCTTTGGTGATCAATAATGCTTGTTTTTCTACACTCTGGTATCACAGGTCGATTTACCAACTTGACTCATCTTCGCTGCAAACAGTGCGCCACCTTGCCACACACTATCTTTGGAAAGAAGAAACAAATCAAGATAGCTATTTACCCAAAGTGGCTTGGGAAGTGGTTACACAGCCCAAACGAAGAGGAGGCCTGGCAGTGTTGGATTCGGAGAGACAGATAGCAGCGTTATTAGCAAGATGGATACTGTGGGGCCTGCTAGCTGACTCCACCCTTGGGTGGAAACAACTAGCAGAACCTGCACTCTTGTCAATTTGGGGATGGGAGAATTCTAAACATGTCTGGCTGCCCTCACTGTTTGCCTCCTACTTAAGGAAATGCCTGCCATCAAATATATGGGGAGGCATACTGAAAGCCTGGAAACAAGTTGCTCCTGTTTTGCAACCACCGCCAATGGTAATGGAGCGGATACTCACTCAACCCCTGTTCCACAACCAGCTTATCAACTCGACTCAAGGAAATCCCTTCCAAACCCATGGGCCGGGGGCCTTCGGAAATTCTTGGATGGCACGAGGCATAGGGACAGTGGACGACATATGGGACCCTGTATTGGCTGATTGGAAAGCTTTTGAGACTCTGGCGCCTTTGCTCTCTGGTCTCTGGCATCAGCGGGACCACTTACAACAGCTACAGCAAGCAATCCCGAATACTTGGGTGCAGGTGCTGAGAGCAGGTCTTGTCCCTGCTCAGGGTATGTGGTACAAACATTTGCATCAAGAACAGCCACAACAAATATGGAAAATTGAGAGTCATTCGGAGGTGGGTCAAATACCACATACTTGTTGGGAGGTACAAGATGGTTTCTTTGGCTTGGGAACGGCTTTGACATTTGCGGCGAATCAAGAGCCGATGCCCCCGCTCAAACTTTGACACCTGTGTGTGTCTTGGAAACTGCATCAAGCTATTACCCCTTCCACCTCTCTTCTCCCTCCTACCTTCTGTCTGTAGATCCCAGAGATTGGGCCTGGGAACATCCTCTGCATCGAAATGAAATGGTTCAGATTCATAGATATTCAACCAAACTAGGATATTTGCTTTCAACCCCTCCGGTTGACGTCAATTGGAAGGTGGCCTGTAGATGGTTGGCGACAGGATGGATCAGAGACTCGCTGACAAGATTACTAGACGTGCTACCCAGGGTCTGGGTGAATTTGATGGACTTGGTTGTTGTTAAACATGCCAGTTTTCTTTGGCTCATGATGCATCAAGCAGTTCCGGTTGCGGTCTGGTGTGCAAAACGAACAACTAAGGCACGGGCGGAATGTCTCATATGTCCTGGCACTCGAATGGAAGACTTGCAACACTTTGTGTTATATTGCGATACTTCTCGGCCTTTCTGGGACTGGTGGAGACACTCCGACATCCCTGTCCCCGCAAACGGCTCCAGATGGACAGACCACTTCATACTAATGGGGACTGCAGCAAGACGAACACCTCTTTCACAACATTACACGTATGCGGAAGAGACACTCAGAGGTGCAATACTGTGGACCCTTTGGACACTCAGAAACTCAGCAACCAGACGTGGAGACAAGCTGACGCCACCAATGATACGACCAGAGGTTAAATATGGCATTAAACAAGCAATGCAGGCCGACTGGGAACATAGAGTACAGCGGAAAGGGTTTACCAGAAAGGCAATGCAGGTTTTTACCACACGATGGGGACATTTTTCGGGCCTTGCATCTGTGGACTGTTCTCCGGGTCGATCACCCTCTCTGGCTTTTTCGGGGGTTTTCCTGTGATTCATCACACAGGTTTGTACATTTGTATAATTATAGTGCTGTAGGATTATGACACGGTGAGTGCTGTAAACAGCTGCTGGTAATATAGGAGAGTTACATACGATTGCTAGTTGTATATATAGGTTCTTTTTGTGTGACCAAGCATATACTTTTGAAGACTCGTAGTATGATAGATGAGTAGCTCTAAGATACGGTTGACGCCGTACTCAGCTGTACTCAGCTGACGTTGATATGGAATACTAGGATATGGCTGAGAGATGTGAATTACCGGTTTTTTTTTTTTTTTTTTTTTTTTTTTACAAACTTTATTTTGAAGATGGTCTCTGCCCCTGATACAGTTGAGGCATAGTCGTGGTACGAGCTTTGCTTGGCCGAAGAGCCAAGCTCAGCTCAGTGCTGCGGCGAATTTTTGTAAGGGACGTCGGGCCCGCTTCCCGGCTTTGATATTAATAAACTGAGATCTTCTTTTTTTTTTTAAAAAAAACAAAAGTTGTTTGTATCATTCATATGAACAACATACTTTGTTTCCAGGTTTTTTTTTTTTTTTTTCGCAATTTTTTTTTTTTTTTTGCGCAGGGCCGGATTTTCCATATCCGGAATTAATCCGGAAATTGAAAATTCCGGATAAAATTGGTCTGCCGGATTTGAAAAAATGGGCATGTCTAAGAAATTATTATAGAGATAGGCCATGTCCGGACACCCCAAAAAAACAAAAACGGATCTGAAAACCCCCCGAAACAATTTTGGGGGCTCCGCTCCTCAGTGGGGAAGGGTCCTGGGCTCCTGGATCCTTTTTTTTCTTTTCCTTGAAATTTGGCAGATCCGGACCTTCTGGACCGGACGTCTGGAGTCCGGACTGAATCCAGACCGTCTGGACGGCGGTCCGGACGTGCGGATCGTAGCCATGGTTTGTGCACATGTGTGTGCATTTTGTAGGATCAACCAATATAAAGACCAGATGTCCGCAGGAGCCTCAAGCGATAGAATGATGGAAAGATGGAGAAAGCAAGGCTGGCCATGTGTGTATGTGGTTGACCAAGTGGCCCCAACTGCAAGCCTGGCCACATCGGTGTGGTTGAGCGTGTGTGCGCAATACCCCTGCCCCCACTCCCACCCTGCCGCCAAGGGAAAAAAAAAGAAAAGCATACATAAAGCCAGCTTCATGCAAGCATACCACAAACATAGCACCTGTGGGGGCCTGCTCCTACAAGGGTAAAACACTCCATCTGAAGCTGTGCATGTTCAACACAGCTCACAAATGCATGCACAAAGGTGGTGTAACATAAAATGCATTATCGTGTGAATATCTTAACACACTACGATCTTCACAGCTGTATTTTTTGGGGTGACTCCCCGTCAACATACAGACTATACAGCGATAATGACCATGTGTTCGTTCTATTCCGGTGAAGACGGTAGCATATGACTTACGACTCTTGTGAGTTATTAAGACCCGATATGCCGGCGTGATGTTGAGCTGCAGAACATCATCCACAAACAGACACCATTTCCAGCGAGTATGAAAGCAGGGCGGTGCAAAAGGCAACAAGAAGGAAAAAATATAAGTTATCGTACAAAAGTAACAAAACATTTCCAGAGAAAATCGCGGGGAGATGGTAATGACAAATTTGAAATTTGCAAACAGACCCCATTTCCAGCGATTATGAACGCAGGGCGGTACAAAAGGCAACAAGAAGGAAAATCTAAGTTATCGTACAAAACATTTAGGGAGGAAATTGTGGCACAAAACATTTACGGAGAACATTGCGGGAAGATGGTAATGACAGCTGGCGTTTACCACATAAACCTTTGTACCCCAGCCTCATGAGCCCATGAGAACGGCCTGAAGAGGAATATATATGCAGTGAGGATGTTGATGAGCATGTATTGGACAAAAGTGCAGGTCCAGGTTGCATGGCTTTTCTCCGCCAAAATAGGCGTGTGAAGCGCTTGAAGCAGAAATGGAATGATGAAATACCGGAACTCAATCAGCGGTGACGGAATGAGCACGGCCATAGTGGCGCAGACATAGAAGAAGATCCACAACTGGCTTTGCTGCTCCCCTGCACAATGCAGACATAAATCACGCCCAAATCAAATCAAATCAAATCAAATCAAATCAAATCACATATCATATCAAATCAAATCAAATCAAATCAAATAATTGGAGAATGGCCCTCAGCCATTATCCTGGTTTTACAACTTTACATCTAAATCTGATGAAAAATGCCACCCTCTACTACACCCTGGACCTTAAAAAAAAAAAAAAAAAAAAGGAAAAAAAAAAAAAAAAAAAAACAAAGAAGAAGAAATTGCATCTCTCACAAACAACCCTCACTGCAGACTACGGCAATCTTTCCCACTGCAGGTCATACTGGAGTTGATTTAAGAAGTGAAATTTCTTGATTGCAGTCATGCTTTTCAATCGGGTAGAGGCTCCCGCAGCTATGACTCTTGCAAGCCTCCATGTAATAAGAATAAAAAAACTGTTTTGAGCACTTGGCTCGTCGGCGAGGTTTCATTTTGGTCTTCGATGAAGCCTCCATTGAAGGCGACATAAGTAACTGCTGCGGCAATCTTACCCACTGCAGCTCATACTGGAGACGATCTACCAAGTTAAATTTCTTGATTGCAGTCATGCTTTTCAATCGGGTAGAGGCTCCCACAGCTATGCCTCTTGCGAGCCTCCCTGTAATAAGAATTAAAAAACTGTTTTGAGCACTTGCCTCGCCGGTGAGGTTTCATTTTGCTCTTCGATGAAGCCTCCATCGAAGAACGACATATGTAACTGTTTTGACCACTCTGGCTCATCGGTGACATTTCATTTCGCTTGTTGTTGAAGTTTCTACACCTTCACTTGTATTAACATGCGATATCTAAAATCACAAAGCGGAAGAGTGATCCGTTGGCAGTCATGCCTACCGTCATCCCCCAACGCAATGCACCCCTCAGCATGATTGTATAGAAGCTACGTTTCCGGTCCGATGTGCCCATGCTGAGGGTGTGTTGTGTTCGAAAAAGCCACTAGTGCCTTATTGCTATCATGTGCTAAATCTCTAGCAGAGATGCAAGCAAGATGTCCGCTCTTCATGAATCCCCTGTGTGCCTTACATTCTTGCTTATCTCAGCCAAGGAAAAATGTATTGACGCGAATTTGACGGTCAAGTTGGGTCAACAATGCCCCCCGATCCCCGGAGGTGACATGAGATGTGGATTGTTTTTTTTTTTGTTTTTTTTTTTTTCAACAAAACGAAACAGCCCCTTCTATTCTGGGGGGCATCAGTCCGGTTGCTTATCACCGGCAAGCCTGAAAACCAAAGTACAGTTTGATTGTAAGAGAAGAGGAAAGCCTTACCCTTGCGGCCCTAGGCGCCTATCAAGGGGGGGACTGCTACAACCAAACCCACTTCCCATACCATAGCCTCCCCAGGGATACTTCTGTTGGTCGGGAAGCTTCCTAGCAGCACCCAGCCACGCAACAGATGGGTCCCCAGGGCAGGCCTGGCCCGGGGGGGCCGTTCTAGCCATCTCACGGACCTCTCATCCTGTCAATCCCTCCCTCTATACACCCATAAAGGTCGTCTAATCCTCGTCTTATTCTTGCAACAATCACTCTCATATCAATCTCCTTCTCTATTCAACGCTCCTTTTTGCACTTACCACTGAATGCCTCTTACACAGAGTCCCCTCATATCAATGTCCTTTTCTATTCAACGCTCTTTTTTTCACCTACCACCGGATGCCTCCTATATCCTTAAGTCTCATCTACCACTGGCAAATTTAGAAAAATATAATTTCCACTCCCCTCGACCATATGGCCCCTGCTACCACCCACTCAACGTACCTTTGGCATCCTGAGAGACCTTAATCGAATAAGTCACATTACCTTCTTATCCAATTGTGCCTTGGGACTTCTCATATCAATCTATTGACTTTCCACAGACACCAAGCCATGCAGTGCCTACACTTTTGAGTGTTGCTGTTTTTTGTAACAGCCTGGTTTTACAGTTTGAGTGTTGCTGGTTTTGAAGTTTGAGTGTTGCTGGATTTACAGGTTGGTTTTGCACTTCCCGTGTTGCTGGTCTTACAGCGCGTTTTACAGCCCGGTTTTACAGTTCCGACGTGTAGTGGGCTTTATAAGTTTATACAGCCTGGTTTTGCAAACAGCAGCATTGCTGGTTTTACAGTCCACTGTTGCTGCTTTGACATCCAGGTTGTTTTACAGCCTGCTTTTTCCAGCTCCAGTGTCTAGCCTGGTCTTACAGCCTGGTTTTACAGTTTCAGTGTTGCTGGTTTTACAGCCTGGTTTTGCAGTTCCAGTGTTGCTAGTTTTACAGCCCGTTTTACAGCCTGGTTTTAAAGTTCCAGTGTTGCTGGCTTTACAGCCTGGTTTTCCAGCTGCAGTGTTGGTGGTTTTACAGTCCACTGACAGCCAGGTTGTTTTACAGCCTGCTTCTTCCAGTTCCAGTATTGTTGGTATTATAGAACCGTACCCTCTGCAGAGCGTATAGTTCCAGAGTTTCTGGTTTTACATTCTTCCTGCAAGGGCCAGCCAGCAGTGGATCAGTGATACCGTGTACGCACACCTAGGAAACATGAAACTGGAAAGTCCCTGGCCCTTAAACTGGTCGTGTTCATGCTAGCCTGTCCTGACTGATCGTTAACCTGGTCATGCTCATGCTAGCCTACCATCTCCCGACACCAATGGGGGGATAGCACACATAGCACCCCAGAATGGCCTGTCCTAACTGGTCTGTCTACAACATCCTTCACTAGGGAGAATTGCATCCATGCTCCTCTACTTCTTCAGACTCAAGTTGCCTTGCAACACGGGAACAGGAAGCCACAAGGTCTGTTGAGAGAGAGAGAGAGAGAGAGAAGGAGAGAGAAAGAGAGACAGAAAGAGAGACAGAGAGAGAGAGAGAGAGACAGAGAGACAGAGAGAGAGAGAGAGAGAGAGAGAGAGAGAGAGAGAGAGAGAGAGAGAGAGAGAGAGAGACAATCCATGGAATCCTTAATTCATCACTTTAAGCTTTACACGGAGGGTGTGTGTGTACCAGCTTCTTCTACGTACACCTGTGTAGAAAAGGAGAATTTGGTGTATATTTAGTTAGCAACGGAACCAATCGTCCTTATCGTTGTAAAATTCGAGCACCTGGTTTTGCTCATTTACAAGGTTTGATTTTATGTCGAAACATCACATGCTCGCAGATGTGGTTACTATCACCGGTACTCAGGATGTTGTGTTCGGAGAAGTATATATATATATATATATAAAGCATCTACTTTGTCGACATCACTACAACCTTATAATTTTTCGGGCCCGCTGTCGGCAGGGATGCCACCTGTATCCGGATTGTGAACATCCTCTACATCCAGATGCAGTATGTCCCATCTGTGCCTGTGGGCGCTATAGCGAATGTGCACTTAACTGTGATGGTGAACGCCCCACAATCGTCATGGCCTGCAACCGGCATGCCCTCTGTCATGCATGCTTCAGAGGTATGGTTAATGCTAGCCGCCTTGGCTCTTGCTCTGACGAAGTTGCTTACCTGAATGGTTTTCGTCCTGTAGATCAGCGGGAGGGCTGCTACCATCACCCGCATCCTTATGACAGTTTTCCTATCTGTCGTGAGGGTCTTACTTAGACGTACCTTGCACCCAGACAAAAATGTGCAGGTGCGCTGAAAAGAGTGTACAAGAATGTGCAAAGGTGGGGAACCCTTCACTAAAACTGCAAAACTGTGAAGAATGCAGTAAAAGAAGAACATAAGTTTGTGTCATCTTACTTTGTTTGTAGCCTGCACCCTAACACCCTCAAAAGAAAAGTCCGAAGGGTGAAAATGAAGATGAAAAATGAAGAAGGAAGTGCAGGTGCGCTGAAAAGCGAACGTGGTAGACTCTTCACCAAAACTGCAAAACTGTGAAAGAAAGAAGAATGCAGCGAAAGAAAGAAGATGTTTGGGTCACTTTTTTTCACTTTTTCTCCCTCTGCCTACCGGTTTTCCTTTTCTGCTCCTCTCCTCCTTGTGTTTAACACCTCTTCCTTCACTCTGCCTCTTTCCCATAGCGTGCAAGTGGGCTGTTATGGCATACGGGGATGGGGGCAGCTCGCGCTCAACTTCATCAACGTGGCGAGTCTTGTATTTTAGAGGCATAGTGGAGGAGGCGTTAAGAAGACTGAGAAACTGAATGATTTCAATGTGTCTTTGTTTTTTATTTTTATCCTTTGATTCAGTGTTTTTTTTTTTTGTTTTTTTTTTTTTTTTTTAATAAAGAATAGGGCCTCATGGTCCTAACTCCTATTCTGGGGAGCATCAGTCCGGTTCCTATTCCCCCGGCAAGTCAAAACATACAATACATGAGAAACAACGCACGCTTCCTTCCGTCTGGCTGAAGGACCCCTGAGCAGCATTGATTACTCCACTTTAGCGGAGGATTTTCAGTGTATTTTTTTTTGTAAAACACTGAAAGAAATAATAATACTGTGAAACAAAGAATAAGAGGACACTGTTTTGTGTCATTCTGGTTTGTCTGTCTCTTTGCCTGTCTGTCCTTTCATTTTTCTTTTCTTCGCTCATCTTATTTCTTCTTCTACTTCACATGCTTACACTCTTAGTCAATAGTT